TGTATAGGTACCTATCTATAATTACGTTTACAAATTTCAATCATTTTTTTTTTGTCAAATATAAACGTTATATTCAGGGCAACAGCGTAATGTCCAAAATTCAAATGGAGTGATATTGAGTAATGTCCACAATTTATAATATTCTGTTAAAAATGCTAAGTACTATTTTTATTTTGCATGTTTTTGCATATATTTAGCTTAGATACATACAACATAAATTTTGTATTTATAAATAAAATCATGTGGTACAGTACTCGACAAAAGATTGAACAGTTTCACGGAGAAAGGTTATTAAACACAACATTCATAAAAGTATGTAGGTATCAATATAAAATCCAAGATAAGATGCAATTTGTCGAGTATTTTATTGTGTACTTATTTAGTATTTTTACACACAACCTATTATTAATCACAATCCTAAATCCTAGTATTGTACAAGCCGTTCAAGGCATTCCGTGCATTAGGTACCATTTATTAGACTATTTTACTGTCTGTCAGTGTGATTTTCGTAAAATGATTGTGATTTCTATTTTAAAAATGCCGAATTAATACTATAGGTAAGTGACAATATAATATTTATAATTTATATATTAGGTATTTCAATACTTTGGAGTATATAGATTGTTAAATATAAGTTCAACGCTTGACCTATTATGGGGCATGACTGTAACTAACTATATTAAAGTACCTACCTTTCATATTTGGTATCCATAAAAGATATATCAATATAAACCTGTACAAAATAAACCCTTTTTAAAATAACTAGGGGCATAGGCGCCCGCGGGGGGCAAACTGGTGCATTTGCCACTCAGGCTTTTTTAAATAACTTTTGTAAATTGAATGTCTTAAGATAAATTACTATATAGTATACTATACAACAAATTTAAAGTGTTTATATGAATATAATAGGTTACCATTATAAAAAAAACATTAGGTTAGATTATATTTTGCACGCGATTGATAATTGTATTTTTAGATCAGGCCTTTCTATAGCTAAATAACTTTCTACATAATATTCTCTATCATAAAATATCGATTTTCAGAAGAAAATGAAGTACCTTATTCTATTTAGTATTTTTCAATTATTACCAGAATATATGAGCAAGCTCGATGAAAATCAATAACTGATAAAATACACTTACTGAAAAAATTTCAAAAAAGTATAGCTCTTTTCTAGGCAACTTGCAGCTGAATCAATGATTTGGTATGATTACCACAATCGCTCAAGTATTCTGAAATCAAAAGATGTACTAGATATACTGAAAGAATAGGAAATATTCTACAAATCAGTATTTTTGACGATCCTTCAGCACTTTGCGGAGTTTTCAAACCTGGTTACGCTCTACCATGACTATAACGAAAAACTCAATGCTTTATGTATTATGAATGTACATAAATCAACGATAATTTACCTAATTAATGATAACAGATTTTATGAAGAAATCGTTGATCGTTTCGGAAGAGATGCTTGACCATAACAATTTATTTTTGAGAATTAATAATACGCCTTTACCTTTTAAATACAACTATACTTATAATAAAATATAATATATTGTATACGAGTATAATAAAAAAGGTTATTATTTTAAAATACCTATTAAAATTAAAATATTTCTCGTCAAATCCAAACATTGCCCCCCTTCCCTAGAAAAATGTCTGCGGGCGCCTATGACCAGGGGTGCAAAGTAAATAAGGGTAAATCAAGCTTTAAAAAAACATAATAATATGTATAGATTAAACGTATAAATTGTACAGCCAACCTTTTAATGATCGATATGAATATTGATATCATTGCTCGGGATCAAAAGCGTAAGGAATTAGTAAAATATTCATTTTTTAATTCAAATAATATCAATTTAGATACATTTATAACTTAATCAGTAATATACAATGCTAACAAATATTATGTCGTGACAGTTTAACATATTATATGGGTACCTCCATAAATTATAATAATTTATAATGTACAGAAAATAACTATATATTTTAATAAAATATACTTAGAGCCCTTTTAGGTACGGAATAATAAATTATAAATATTTTGTTTTTATATCTATCGAATACATGATCATTAATATCGACTCTGCGTGTACCTACAGAAAAATACTATTTAAAATACAATATAAAATTAGCTTATAATCAATATTAAATGAGATGAAATCGTGTAGGTAATGTATATATACCGAATATTATTTTCTTTTAATGATACGCTGTACAGTTACGAGGTCCATAAAAAATAATCGTTTTAGATTTTAAAAGAAACGAAATCTAAAATTATTTATTATAGGAAAGCACTCGAAGGTCGAATGCAATATTTTTTAAATAGTACCTTATAGCCTATAGGTACCTATTATATACATATTATTGTGTGTAATATGAATATAAATATATTGTATATTTGTACAATGAGTTTAGTGCAGTGACTGCAGACTGGTGTGATGCATAACTTTTACATAGGTATTATAATAATATAAGTGCAACGCTCGTGTATAATGGAATCACTGTATTAATGGATATGTACAATTTTAATTAAATGCTATAGGAATGGTATAGGAAAAACAATGCTGAGCGAAGACGATATGTCACCCTAAATTATTACTAAGTGTACCTACTTATATTATATGTAATTATTGTTATTAAAGTAATTTATTTTACTATTAAACATTAGTAGGTAGGTACTACAGCAGGTTAAATTATTTTTTCCGAAAAAATTGCATTTTAAAATGTCATGGTGATTGGGTGCACAATGTGTATACAATACAAAGGTAGAAAAACTTATGAGTAATCTTGTATTACATTTTCAATTCTTAGATTTAAAAGAAACATTTTTACGAATTCTTAACTAAAAATAATTTGCTAATTTTCGTGATTTTTCCATATTTTGTTAATTTTTGAACTTTAAATGCTTCTAAAAAAAAATTGTGACAAAGGATTTTTAATATTTTTATCTGCATTTTAAACAATATACTAGGAGCCTTCTATTAAATTTTTCAAGCTTTCGAAACCAACAAATAAAATTTTATTGATATTTTTAGAATAAAAACTAAAAAAAAATGGAAAATGAAAATGTCCCTAAACAGTTCAAAACAAATCTTAATATTTTCAAAAATTTATCGTGTATAGAAAATTCAAATATAAACAACCAGTGAAAATTTCATGTATATACGTTGATTTGTTTTAGAGTTACACCAAAAACCAAAATCGGTTTTTTGGAAAACAGATTTTGCGTAAAAATTCCCGCTATTCCTTAATTTTTATGTGTTTAATCCTGGCGCTTGTGAAAACTATTGGGAATTTTAAAATTTGACCTCCCGAATGTACCAACTAGATTCACTTTCCAATCGAACAAGATAGGTACTGAAGTTGAAAATCGAAGCATTATTTCGACTACTGCTTATCGTGTACACAGTCACAAAAAAAAAAAAAAAAAACACACATCATTGTAAAATCAATACATTCATCGTTCAGAATCTAAAAGTGTTTATATGTTTTGAAAATGTTTGGTTACAGTATGAACTATTTTAACTAAAATTGAAGGAGCTAGTATTTTACCTAACGACTATTTTGTTATCAACAGCAAATTCAATTTATAGATTTAAATATTATATTGCTAATATAATATAGGTACTATTATACTCATATACAATACCTATACATTCTAAAATGAAAGAACAAAATCTAGTTTTCTTGATTTTTTGCTCAATTCATTTAAAACTTCTTCTGCTGTTAGTGATTTTCTTTATGAACAGCTAACATAGCTAAGCGATTAAGTCGAGTCTAAAACCAAAAAAATGTTAAAAAAATTGATATACATTTTTATTTTAATATTCAGAAAATACCGCAGTTATTGTGTTTCGTAGATAAGATTTCAATCTTTTGAGACAAGAAAACGTTCTCTCGGGAGTGGATGTTGAAACAGGTAAAGTGCATAGTATTTTTAGTAGAAAATGTATATTGGGAAATTTTTCCTTGTGAAAATTATCGGATTCACTGGATATTATTAGTAATATTCAGATACTACCTATGTAGGTATGAGAGAATGACGGTTTGTAAATAATACTAATTTAAACTCAATCAGAAATGATATTGAATAGCTACGGTATACAATGCCACAATGCCACCTAGGACAGGGTGAAAACAAAAAGACAAAATACTTTCATAATAAATATATTATGTGGTAGGTACCAATGTGTGAAATAAAAATTGAAGTACAATATTTAGAGACAATTAGGCTATCCCGCTATAACTGATATATGAGTAACTAAAATAAAAAAAAACTCATTACCTCACCTAGTTAATTAAAAAAAAAATCTATTCATAAATTATATTACATTTTTTTTTATAAATATATAATATTATTACATATTTTAAACATATTTTTATAAGTTCATAATTATTAGGTATGACCAGAGCCGTGCCGTTACGATTTGGCGCCCGGGGCAAAATTAAAAATATTCGCCCCCTATTTTATTTATCATTATAATCATAATGCGTTTCATTCCTATTTAATTTAATTTAATTTTTTTTTACAACGTATTTTGAACATTAATTTGACAAAAAACTAAAGTTAATTGTAATAGTAATTATTAAACAAAATAGTTAGGTATAATTTATTAATTTATACCGTATTAAATAATTAAAAATGATAAAAATCACAAATTATATTATATATACATGTTATATTTACAAACGTATCATAAGAGCGTATCATATATAAGTATCATATAGTTAAAACTTAATTTTTCTGGACTTTATTGAAGCAAAATCTTCAATGACGTCTTCAAAATCAATGCTTTTTGTTATTTCATGCTCAATTGATAATATTGCAGAATTGGTTAATCTGTTTTGCGACATGGTTGACGGTTGACCGTAAATACGTCTTAGTTATAGTTTCAATTTACTAAAAGAGCGTTTCCCGGAAGCGACGGTAACAGGCATGGTAAGAAACAATCTATATGCAGTCATTAAGTTTGGACAAGATTGAATCAAGTACATATTTTTTAATTGCGTTTAAAATATTTAAAGCAGTTGCGTTTAAGTCTGGTAAAATTTGCTTTTACTTGATATTTAAAAAATTCGATTTCGTTAATTATTTCCTGGTCAATATCTTCGTTGTATTTGATAGCTAAATCAGCCGCATATTTTTTCAATTTTTCAACTGGTGTAACATATAGTGAATGAGCAGAAAGGAATTGAAAATCATCAGCAATATTTGATAATTGTTCAAACCTCCATTTCATTTGAGCCATCATATTATCAAGAACTTTGTAGTATTCCAATGTTAAAAATTGATCTGCAGAAATATCTTCCCCCGATGAATTTTCTCCACTCATAACTTTCCTTTTTATTGTCCTTTTGATTTTTAATTAAGATTTTATTCCAACTTTATCACAAATACTAATAGCTTCAGTTTTAATTTGTTCATTTCCACTATCACGCATTTCTTGGAGAGAAACATTTAAACAATTTATCATTTTTGAAGCCTGATCTATTGAAATATTTGAGCTTTGTAATAATTTATTTACACGATATATTTGATTCAATATTTTATCCCACATGACTAAAAAATAAACAAATTCCAAATCAAACTGTTTTAATATACTTTCTGCATTAGCAACCCCATCGCCAAAAATTGGATTGGTAGATATGTCACGTAAAGCTTTTATCACACCGCCAAATTGACAATACAATGAATGAACTGCATTATATTTAGATGCCCAGCGTGTGTCACTGTGCGTTTTTAATGTTATTTTCAAACACCGCATTAGTATTTCCCAGCGACTTGTTGATCCAGAAAAATAGTTAAATATATTTGTACAATACCGAAAAACGAAATCATTTTTACTGATACACTAGCAGCATGTACGCCGATTAAATTAAGGCTGTGTGCAGCACAAAGGACAAACTAAGCATGTTCATTAATCTCTTTTAATCGAGCTTGTACACCTTGATATTTTCCCGCCATGTTTGCGCCGTTATCATAGCCCTGTCCACGACAATTCTTAAAACTAAGTCCATCTTTCTCCAACTTTTGTAATACATCAGAAGCTATTCCAATTCCAGTCTTTTCATTGGTATAAATAAAATCTACGAAACTTTCTTCAATGACAAACTCGTTATTAACTTCTCTAACATATCTTATAATTTCACAGAGTTGATCTTCACGAGAAACATCCGGGGTGGAATCAAAAATAATAGAAAAGTATTTTGAATTTTTTATCCTCTGAATGATTTCATTTCGTACTTTTGAACCGAGTAAATTTATAAATTCATTTTGGATTTTATTTGATATTTGATATTTGATATTTTACCGATGTAAACATGTAGTGTGTACTGTGTACCTACGGTATAATTATACGAACACGAACAAATAACAAGAAGAACGTGTAGCCCGGTTCGATTCAGATAACGTACTGACTATTGACAACTGACATGACATGGTGATTTGTAAAATGTAAAAATAATATATAAAAGTTAATACTGTAACGGGCTGTGACTACGTACATATTATAATAGTAATAATATATAAAATATTATATTATATTATGCTGTATTGAGTATAATGCGCTTATAATATAATATGTTATATTCAATAATAGATATAAATGCTGCAGAGGGCACGTAACCTAATAATAGTAATAATATAAACGTCCGGGCGGCCATATCGATAAGAGTATAGAACGCGCGCATTATCCATATTCTGGGAAGGACAAAAAGCCGTAAACAACAAAATAGATAACTTTGAGAAAACATATAATCCCAATTAACATTATTTTGTAGAGGACGCCCGAAATGACCTCAGGTATACGCAGCTATGTACCATTTATATACTAAAAACGCTATAGGAGGGATATAATAGGAAAACCGACGAAATACGTCGATGGACAAGTGTCCATCAGACGAACACCAGCCAAGACGACGAGCACTATAGCAGGACAGCCACAAAGTCGATACTAAGTCACAACCCGTTTACCACTATTTTATAATTTAATTATTTGGACTTAGAATATTTTTCGTGTTAATTAAATACAAATAAACTATCATTATACCAACAACTTGTCATTTTAATTCAAAATACCATCAATATTGAGTTGAAGTAGTTGGCACGTTACAAAATTGGCGCTGTGGACAGGGTATCTCAAAAGGATACTTAGAAGAAACCCGAAGAAAAAAAAAAAAAAATTTTTTCGAAATTTTCGAAAAATTTTTGAAAATTTTTCAACTTCTAAAATTCAATCAAGGAGGAAAATCCATCACTGGACCACCGTTGGGAGCCTGTACACCTTCCAGCAACTCCGAGAAAGAATCCTGTACAACTACGTAACACCCAACTACAATCAACATTTCAACCGAGAAAATGGAAGCACCCGCTGTACCAGCTGCGTTTTTGTAAGTATGCTTAGGTAATAAATATCGTGGTGTTCGTCTCCTATGGTATATGCATGACCATAGTATATAATAATAAGTGAAAAAACTAGTCGTGTTAAGTAATATAAGAATTTTTAGGAACTTTGAATTTTCGTTTCAACAAACCGAATTTGTGTTGAATTTTACCAGTGTTTTAATAAAATAAATCGAGAAATTTTCAAGGATTGAATTAAATAACATTTGAATAAAATAATAATTTATTTTAAAATAACGTCGCGAATTATTTTAAATAAATTAAAATTTTTAACTTTAAATTAAATTAAATAAAATTTTATTTTCAAGTATTTTATGTTTCAATCATTTAATAGAATAAGATAGATATTGTTCAGTACTTTAAGTCATTTCTAAATAAAATAAAAATAATAAATTTATTTATAATAAAATTATTCAATAAATTAAATTAAAATAAAATAAAATAATAGTTTAAATTAAATAAATTTTTATTCATTCTAATAAATTAAATTCATTAACATTTAAATAATTTAAAATAATAAATTAATTTAAAATAAAATAAAATAAAATAATAGTTTAAATTAAATACAATTTTAACCATTTTAATAAAATAAATTCATTAACATTTAAATAATTTAAAATAATAAATTAACTTAAAATAATTTTCAATCATTTAATAAATTTAAAATAATTTAAAAATGTTTCCATCAATTAATTAAATTAAATTAAAATAATATTTAGTTTTAAACTAAATCTTCAATCGTTAAATAAAATAAAATAATAATTTTATTTTACAATAAATTATCCAATCAGTTAAATAATTTAAATTAATAATTCAATTTTAACTTAACATAATAAATTAAATTTAAAATAAATTTCAATCATTTAAATAAAATAGAAATAGCACTTTGATTTTAAAATAATTTTCAATCATTTGAATAATTTAATTCAACAATTTAATTTAATCATTTAAGTAAATTAAAATAATAAAATTTAATAAATTTTAATCGTTTAGTTAAACAATTTAATTGTTCGGGATTTTTAATTTTCATATTCAAATATAATTTTTCTGATTGATTAATTATAGACATTTGTACCTACTATTTAAATTTATTTAAGCTGAACAATTTCTATTTTACGCATCAGATTATCGAATTCAATTGTGTTGATTATTATAATAATTTGAGTTAACTAATAATTTTATAGAATAGTAAAATTATTTTAGGAATAAATATAGTTATTGAAATACAACGGAAATTCAATTCAGTTATTTAGAGAAGAAATAAATTAAAGGCATTGTTTTATTTAATAAATTATTTCAGATAGTAATCAATTTGAGGAAAATTTATTTTATTAATTAATTAACAGTTATAGTTGAAATTATTTAAGAAGTTTTCTCTAGTTAACAAATTCCATTCTAGAAGCAATTCATTGAAATAGTTCGTGCTGATTATTATAATAAATTAAGAATTAATTAAGAATAATTTTAAGTAAAAGGGGGTTAATTATTTACTGTTGAATATGTGGTGAATATACATATTGAGAATTTATTGAGTTTTATTATAGGCCGTGTTGTAAGTCCTTTGTTATTGAATTTTATTATAGGCCGTGATGTAAGTCCTTTTGTTTTTGAATTTTATTGAGTTTTATTATAGGCCGTGTTGTAAGTCCTTTTGTTATTGAATTTTATTATAGGCCGTGATGTAAGTCCTTTTGTTTTTGAATTTTATTGAATTTTATTATAGGCCGTGTTGTAAGTCCTTTTTGTGTTATTTGTGTTATTACGACAATTGAAGTCGATATTATTGAATTTTATAGGCTATGCAGACGTGCATTTTAAGTCCTGATATTGTGAATTATTTGAAGACAGTGAGTCTATATTTTGAATTTTATTTTACAAGGCCGGAATAAGTCCTTATGTGTTGAAAAGAGTAGGTTGATTTATAAAGAAAATTTTAATTCAATTAATACAGTAATAAGAGTTACTATTTTAAATAGATGTCGTATTGGCTGATTAATTTGAATTAAAGCAAAAAAAAAAAAAATTAGAGTAACTAGTTAAACTAAATTTTAATTTTAAATCGTATTGATTAATTAAATTAAAATTAAATCTAAGATAGGCAAGTTAAGTTAAATTTTTATTATTAATAAAATTTACTTTAAATAAATTATTGAGTAATTAAATTGGATTTAAGTATTGAAGCAATCGGGTTGATTGTAAATAATTGGTAACGATTGTTATTAATTAATTATTGTTAATTGTTGCTGATTTATTTTGGTTGTTTGATTATTTGATTAATAATTTACTGTTTATTTTACGCACTATAGTTATAGTTATTTCATTAAATTTCGTTAGAGAATTAATTATTGCATACGAATTAAAATTTTGTATACTAGTGTGTCAGTTGCACTTTAATTCCGTTTTTGTTTACACTATTACATTAAGTGATTATTGATTAATGAGTCAAGAAGATAACAACACTAGTTTGACTGAAAGTGAATCTGAAAGTATACAATTGATAGATCAGGAACTTAGGGAAGTAGTAGTGATTAAATCAACAAGTTCTGATATAATTAGTAACGAGGATAGTGAATCAAGTACAACAAGTTCTGATATAATTAGTAACGATGATAGTGAGTCAAGTACAACCAGTTCGAAGGAAACTGATAACGAATCGGTTGACAACACAACCATAATTGATGATAAGAAATCTCAAACACCACCCACTTTAGAATCAGCTATCCAGGTTACTAAGGACGAAGAGACCGAAATTAAGTCTGAGTCAGATGCATACCAATATTATGGAGGCAATAGTTCAGGTAGACAAGTAAACAACTCCACCAGGGAAACCAATAATTCTAATAGGCGGAATAATAATTTTAATAATCGTTATAATTACAATTCATCCACTAATAATAGACCAAATCATAACAATGACAATTCACAGAGACAAAATTACAATCCTAGAGATTCGAATTATATTAGACCACAGTACAATCGAAATCCGAATTTTAATAGACCTGATAATAGGAACAGTTTCAATAATAATCAATACCAGCCTCGCAACAATAATAATTTTAATCGCAGCAATGACTATAATCGTAGTAGTAATTATCGGAATAATAACAATGCAATAGGTAACATACGATGTTATCAATGCGGAGGCAATCATTTTGCCCGGGATTGTGTACAGCATCGTAATAGATACAATTCGCGTCCATCTAACAATAATTTCACGCGACAGCCTACTAATTACAACGCTCCGGTAGACGTTATATGCACGTATTGTAAAAAATCTGGACATGACGTTACCAAGTGTTTTAGGAAACCGAATAACGATAGGTACAACAATAATTCGGGAAACTTGCCGAGATCGGGCGACAT